GGGGATCCTTATAATAAGGATCCTACTATTTAAGGGACTGTATTGGGGTCCCCTATTTTCGGAAACTCCCATTTAACCATTAGGAATGGAGTTTGAATTGGTCTGGGCGTTTCCCGGGGTCGCCCCCACGAGTCCCTTTCGAGCGGTTTGCTTCCTGTTTCTCAAATCCTCTAGTGACAGTTTACATTGCATCATTGACGGGGAGTATCCCATATAATAGCCCCAAACACTCAACGAATGGGACTTTAGGCAGCAACCCGACCCTAAACTGCCTAAACCCTGAAACCCTAAAACCCTGAAGCCCTAAACCCTAAACCCTGAAACCCTACACCGTAACCAGGTTTGGTTCGGAATCGATTCCGCTTAAGACCTGCATCTTGAATTAGGGTCCGGGACCCAAGATGCCCCGCACATATGCGCTACTTGGAGGTTCACGGGTAGTTCCTTGAAGGGCCCCTTTAAACGGGATCTATAGGGATTCTAAAAGGGTGTGTATAGGGTTTCGGGTCTACTTGGAAGTTCATGGGTAGTTATAAGTGGGGTTATTAAAGTCCCCGAATATAGGTCATAACCATGGTTGTCCTACTTATAACCCTACATTTTTACTACCCATGAACCTCCAAGTATATCAAGACCCTGAACCATGAAACCCTAAAAGAAAGCCCTAACCCAGAAGCGGCTGAAGGTAGGTCATCAACTCTTAGCACTGTTGGCCCTGAGCCTGACGGCCCTTGGCTTGAACATGAAACCTACCAGAAACCCCAACAGAAATCTTTCAGGTGGAAAACCTCACTACACCTAATCTTCCCAGACCACTACAACTCTACCGAACCTTGACGACAAGCCCTAACAGCCCCCGGCAGCCTGAACCCATAGCTGGCCTTGTTATCTTCTTCTTCCGCTTCTTCTTCGGGGCTGGCAGAGGCGTGTCTTCCTGTTCGCTCAGCAATCATAAGTGGGGTCCCTAGTCCAATGGTTCTACAGGGATCTACCGGATGGTTCATGCTAAGGGTCAAAGTATCTCGCCATCATATACTCTCAAATACTAATGCACGACACTCTTACCACTATGCCGAACTGAGCACCTGATTACTCAACATCACAAATGCTCAGCACTGCCCATATGCCAAGTGCCTACTCCATAAACCCTGCGACCAGAAAGTCTAGCCAGCTTTCCAGGCATTCTTCTAACCTCAGTGAACCAACCTCCCGAAGCATAGACCTGCAATCGCATTCTCACAAAGCCAGCATGCGATTTCTCAATCAGGATTGTAAAGCGGCACGAGGATGAGAACAAGGTTGCACGCGAACTGCAAAGAACTTAGCTTGTGACGGCAGTGGGCTATGAAGAAGGACCGTAAGGGGATACGACTACTAAGTAGGCAAACGCTTATACGGCCAACACCCAAATCTTAAACGTTCTATACCCCTCAAACCCGTAGAGGAACCGTTAGCGGGGGCAGGATTGCCAACCACCCGAACCTCTGTACTAGACCCCATAAAGCCCGCAGACCCCCTGTAAGACACGTCCAAAACCTCTCCAACTCCCATTAAACACAACCCGCAGAAAATCGCCAAGCCCTACAATGCACAACCCTGAACCCTAATAATGCCTAAACTTACTCCCCCAATAAGCCAGAAAAATGAAAGGTTGAACCTTCCGATTCCTGCTAAACTACAAGAGCCAAAGAAGGATACGGGTCGGGCATTGGGGATCTAAGCAAATTACCCAAGACCTAACAGACCTCTCTAATATAGGGGCCTTGATAATCAGAATAGGGTTTTGGGGTCCATTATACTATAATTAGAATAAGGAACCACCAAAATAGTATAGGTAATTATTAAGGCCCCTGTACTAAATCCTTACAATAACCCTTGGAGTAATCCTTATCGACCCCTTTAAAAGGAACCCTTTAAAGGAGCCCGAAACAGAAAAGGTAATAATTACAGCTCCTATATTATCACCTGGCCCGTGCACCCGGCGACCTGGGTCGCCTCGGCTGCAGCCGCCGTGGAGCCCAGTGCTTCCTAGCAGAGGGAGGAAGAGAAGAGAGACGGAGAGAAAAGAGAGAGGGTGAGAGAATGAGAGAGATGAGAGAAGAGAGAGAGAGAGAGAGAGAGCGAGAGAGTGAGAGAGAGAGAGGGAGAGAAATTGACGGAGAGTGAGAGAGTGTTAGAACAAAGACATGAAACATGAGAGAGGGAGAAAGAGAGAGACAGATGACAGAGAGAGCGAGCGAGAGGGTGAGAGAGATGAGGGAAGAGACAGAGAGAGAGAGAGAGATATATATATATATATATAAACAAAACAGGGAGAGGCAAAGAGAGAGCGAGAGAGAACGCGAGAGATAGACAGAGTTAGGGTTGCGGGGTCTGTGCTCTGGATGCTGAACCTTCCAACCTTCCCTCTACCCGAGGCCACACTTCTGCAGAATCTGGGAATACTGGGGCTCCAGTTTCAAACAGAGAAGACCTGCACTTCCTAAATTCAAGGGATTCGCATTAGGGTTATAAGGAGGATGCTCTCCTACACTCGAGCCTTAGGGTTTAGGGTTTAGGGTTTAGGGACCCTTAAGGTTTAGGGTTTAGGGCCCTTTAACCCTGCAGGCAAGCCTCTTTTGAATCACCTAACATTCCTCCAAAACGGCAACCTCCCATCCTCCCGCCTGCCCAATGCTTAGAATCAAAGGGGAAAAGGGGACCCCTACCCTATAGTGGGCTATACAATGGGTATATAACAGCTATATTAAGGGTATATACCTAGGGGTCCTTATTAAGGGTCCCTCCTTTTTTACCCTTGGATAGACTAGTATGTCGGGCAAGAACCTGTTAGTATCCGCACAAAGGGACTGAATAGTCAAACCTCTGTATGACCACTTCGACTAGGATACCCAGTAACCTAAGAATAAAAAGGCCTCTCTTTTTGGTATTGGGTAACTTTATAAGGAACCTAGGACTACAAAAAGGGAATAAGGGTACTACTGGGCATCCTAGTCGATATCTTCTTGCAAGTCCAAGGCACGTCCCAATCGACGCCGGAGGCCTGCAGAAGATGATGCTTCATGCTAGGCAGGCTCCCATGCAAAATTTCTGCGCTCAGAAGACTTAGCAGTGACCCTACACCCTAAACCAGTGATTAGGGCCCTCCAGGACACCATTATGAACAAGGTGTTTGGGGCCCGGAAGGCCGGATGAGCTGCTTTCTGCGCTGGAGCTTCTCGGCATTGTACTGGTGCAAGAGGTTTAGGGTTAAATTTAGGGTTCAAGAACATGCTGGATTGTTGGTGGCCCTCCACTACATCGAAAACTTCCAAGGCAGGATACCCGAACTCTTCCATCAACCCTCGCCACAGCAGGAGTCGCTTGGGCGCAAGGATGGTAGCGACGTGGCCGCCCGGCATGGATTTCTTCAGTTCCTGCTCGGCATCCTCAAGTTCACGAGCTCTAGCAGTGCACCTGTGGAAGAACAAGGCGCGGAGCCTTGCTAGCTCAGCAGGCTTCACGAACTCATCCGGTGATCTGGGGACTCCCCAAACATTCTCGACTAAGAGGTCAGACCGATCGCAGTCTGGCTTCCTCACCACTGGCTTACCCCCTGGCTTACCCCATTTAACCGACTTCTACGGCATCCATGCGGCTTAGGGAATGTAGTCTGTAGGCTCCATCAAACTCGAAACCCGAACCCACAAACCCTAGACCCCTGAAGCCCTTAAACCCAAAACACCTAGACAGCCTAAACACAAACCCCAAGCCCATAAACCCCTAAACCCACATACCCTGAACAAACCCCGAAACCCAGGCTTGTATGGGCGTGTCGGAGGTTCGGGGTTCCGGCCGTGTCCCCGAACCCAAAATCCTACAAAAACCAAGCTTAAACCTCCAAAGCCCAGCATCACGTTTTTGGGTTTAGGGTTTACTTAGGGGTTTATGGGTTTAAGGCTTGCGGTCCAGCTACGACAGAACCTTTACACAACCAAAGGCCTACAGCATGCTACGCGATCAGATGGTTTACCATTTGCCGAACCACCACCCCCCACCACCCCCCACCACCCCCCACCACCCCCCACCACCCCCCACCCCCACCCCCACCCCCACCCCCACCCCCAGGGACGGCCCGAAAGCCCTGACCTGCTAAGCATTTTCCTTGGGAGCATCTACGTTCTCGAGATGGGAGTGTCCGAAAATGTGGGGTACCTTGTTTAGGGGTCCTTATAATAAGGATCCTACTATTTAGGATACTATATTAGGGTCCCTCATTTTCGGAAACCCCCAGATCGATTCTTGCCTGGCAGGGTCAGCACAAACAGACCGAGCCCGAACCGCCCAAAAGCCTACACTCGCAGGCTCCGGTGGTGAAACCAGCCCAAGAGCCTGCCCAAAATTCGACGCAACATCACCAACAACCAAACTCCAAATTCTTTCGCCCCAACCCGAAATCGAAACCCTAAACTCCCCATGATAACCCCTAACCCTAAACCCCGAAACCCCCATATTCTCTATTCCCTAAACCTCTAAACCCCCCGTATTCTCAAATCTCAAAACCCCGCAAGAAAGAGCGTAGGACGGCCTCGGCCAGAGCCGTGATCTCCGACTCCGCGGCTGCTTGGAGCTGCGCCTGAACAAAAGTTAAGGGGTTTAGGGGTTAAGGGGTTAAGGGGTTTAGGGGCTTAGGGGCTTAGGGGTTTAGAAGCTTAGGGGTTTAGGGTTTAGGGGTTTAGAGTTTAGGGGTTTAGGGGTTTGGGGGTTAGGGTTTAGGGAAGCTAGATGATGGGGTTTTATGCTTTTTGCTCTATATCAGTTTTGACGGATTATAAGGTTTTTGTTATGTCGTGATAGGATTTTACGAAGCTTTGCAAGGCTTTGCGTTTCTTGTAATGAGGCTCGCTTATGCCGTTACAGGCTTTTTGATAGGGTGTGGAGGGTTGTTAATATAGGTGCCTTCAGTATGTTCATCGGACTGGGGTCTTGGGGGCTGTGCAGGGACACTACCACTACTAATAATAATAATAGTTACTATTACTACTACTACGACGACTACTACTACTGCTGCTACTGCTACTGCTACTACTACTACTACTACTACTGCTACTACTACTACTACTACTACTACTACTACTACTACTACTACTAGTGCTAGTGCTAGTGCTAGTGCTAGTGCTACTGCTACTGCTACTGCTACTGCTACGGCTACTACTACTACGACGACTACTACTACGACTACTACTACTACTACTACTACTACTACGACTACGACTACGACTACGACTACTACTTCTACTACTACTACTACTACTACTACTACTACAACTACAACTACTACTACTACTACTACTTCTACTACTACTTCTACTACTACTACTACTACTACTACTACTACTACTACTACTACTACTACTACTACTACTACTACTGGTCATGCTGACTCCTACTAGCATGGTATGCTTGCTGCATGTGCCTATGCTTTTTGCTGAGTTTCTGCGCAGGGCTCGTAGATTCTCCATCCCATGATGGAGACAGATACAAGCAAGTGCGGCTAGAATGCTTATGCAGATTTATATACCGGCTTGGATATCTCCCGTTTGCGAGCTCACTGAAAACACGCTTCTGCAAACAACTGCTACAAAACGCCCTGTCGAACGCCTATTGACTGACAAATATTGTATGACCCGTATCTAAACGGCTTCTCTAGCACTGCCTAGTCTTCTTAACAAATCCGAAGACAAATCAGCTCTTTCAAGACACTCCTCCCTAAACCCTAGGCCTAAACCCCAAACCCAAACCCCGAAACGACCCTTCAAAGCCCCGCGCTCCAGTTTCTATACGGGGCCTTAGTAACTGGAGTAGGGTTTTGGGGCCCACTATACTATGCTTATTACAATAAGGAACCCCAAAATGGTATCGGTTTTGTGTTTTAGGCCCCTTTTCAAATCCTATAATAGCCCTTATAGTAACCTTTGTAAACCCCTTTAAAGGGACCCTATTCTAATTATTAAAGCTTTTATGGAGGGCTCGAATCGCTCCCAGAGGTGGAGAATATCGGTAGCCCCAGAACTTTTCGGGTGAAACCCGAGTTCGCTCCCGCCGCTATCAAGCAGCCATACTCTCCTGTGTGGCACAGACGGGCCAGGAAGGCCCGGTCCAAGGCGAGACAGGCCTTGCGGGAAAACAGGCGTCTGACCCGCCGACAGCTCTTTCGACTGGGTGGGCACCACGCCACCGCACCACCCCTACAACGGCGACTACGTCATCAAGCCATGGGCAAAAACGGCCGAGCCAAATGGGGACAAGGCTACGACGACTACTCGGCCTACTCACAGCCTTCTCGGTCTACAGAGAAGAAGTGGCAGCTATGGGAAGGAGCATGGAGTCCCCAATGGAGGGGGCAACAAGGCAAGTGGGAAGAACCCAAACCTGCTGCCTTTCCAGCCTACGACGACAAGTCCAGGGCGCTCCAACTCAGAGATCAGGACCCAACGCGAGGTGCACCACCAAGCAATGTGGCGCAGACCCGAGCCGACGATCCGGGAGCCGCAGTGACACAAGGCCTCCAGGACTGCATCAACAATACCAGGAAAGCGGAACAGCGAGTTCGCAGCCTGACTGCTACGCGACAGCAGAAGCAGAAACTATGGACTGCATATGTGGAGGACCTGAAGAAGACTTGGTTGCGAGAGTGTGCCAGACACCAGAAAGATATGGACCGCCTCACCAACGACCTGAATGCCGCCTTGGAAGCCCAGGAGCAGGCGAGGGCCAGTTGCAGAGCGGTGGTTCTACGAGAGGAGCGTGGCCCCGTGCAGGCCGTGGAGAGACCCACCGAAGAGGACCAAGCCTGGGATGCAATGATCGCAGAATGGAGGGCCGAGCAGGCAGAGAGAGACACGGCCGGTGCGGTCTTGCAGAGGGCCCTTGGTCAGACCTCGTCCGACGCTCAGGCACAGGCTCCTGCTGCACATGCACCCCAAGAGGAGTTCCTCTCTACGCCTCCGAGGCGCAGTGGAGGCTTGCCACCGGCCACACCTCCAGCACCTGCTGTGCCTGCATCCTCCAGATTGCCAACGCAGAGCAACCATGCCACCGTGGACCCCTACCAGATGTCCCCAAGTATGCACCAGCTCCGGGACCTTTTTCTGCAAGCAGCCAGAGGAGTTCCTGTGGCCTTGCCACCGGACATGCTGGAGGCATACAATGCGTCGCCCAGACAAAGGCCCAAGCCGCAGGAGGTTCGTCAACCGGTCAAGAAGATCCCGACAACTGTCCCTCATGGTGCCTCGCCATCGGGAGGCCTGAGCACCAAGCTGGATCAGAAGCGCGCGCAGTATCTTACAGAGGAGGCTGCAGGTATGGGCCAAGGTCGTGTGCCTCCTTCCGAGCCACCACCAGCAGCACCTCCAGGATCGACCCCTACAGGGAACAGGCCCATCCGGATTGCCGACGACGACAACTCCGACGAGGACATGCCGACACCAGGTTCTGCGTCGGCAGGCGTCGTTCCGGAGAGCTGACTGCTCTCAGTGATGTAGCGGGTTGCTGGCCACGGCATGTATCAGGATGTCTTCCAGAGGACCCAGCATGTATGGAGGAGAGACAGCGGGGCTGTCGATCTCTTCCTACACTGCACGTGTCCCTTGGACAGACTGCCCTGCCACATGCCGAGGCTGCAGAGCCGCACTGTGATGGGGTTTCACACAGCTGTAGCCCTTCTGTACAGCGGTACATAGCAGTAGGCTGTCACCTGGACCCAGCCACTCCTTTCTTGCCGCCACTCCATGGCACGTCTTCCTCGGCCGACATACTTCAGCACTTGGGTCTTGCTGTTAGTATGTTTGGCCCCCGCCGTGCATACCACTGTCCCGTGCCAGGCCCCGCCTGCCCAGCTCCTTTTCCTGCATACAGCCGACCGCATACAATACCCGGCGTCTGCACAGGAGATTTTGATTTCGAACGCGAGGTCCCCTTTGAATCCACAGGCCCTCGCGAAGTGTCAGCTTACATGGTGCCTAAGAGATACATCGGTGGCGCAGGGGTATCCACCATAGATAAGCTGACACTAGGAAGCCTCGAAGCTGTGCTGTCCATCCTGGCCGGTATTCTGGTTCCGCTAGCCAGGGCAATTTTGGGTTTGGTTTTCTTGGCCTTGTGGCGAGCGTTGTGTCATGGATTTCCGGCAAAATCCCACCGGGCGACCCATATCCAACGGTTCTTAACCCTTCCCAGCCTTGGGATTCCGGTTCAGGCCTTGCGACCCTTGGGCGGCCCTTCTCCTGTCTATGGCATTTCCAGCATTAAGCCGGGCCCGTCCTACCGAGGACGACAGCGACCAAAGCGGACTTCGCGGTCATCTCACCGTCCATGGTGGATTGTTTCCCTTCTCAGTATGCACAGCCTTCCTGTATGCATATGGGCAGCACCCACAGGCATGCCAGCAACTGTAGCGCATGCCGCGGCAGATCGGGTACCTGAGGGATTACCCTTGCCATCCACCAGTGACCTTGCAGACAACCACCCCCCTGCTCATGATCCGGCAATGCACTGGCCCTCACCAGTCTCTATTACGGGCCCTCGAATCGACATACTCGCCGCAGAACCAGCCACACCGCTCCTCCTTG